AAAGAAAATCCTTAAACGCCATAAAAAGTACATTTTCGTTGCGTTTCAGGCTTTTCCTTAATTTTTTTGGTCACACTAGCTCGGTAACGAATTAAACAGCGATTCCGCTGTTTTAATTTAAACAGCGGATTTTTCTCGTCAGAGTACTAGTCTTAATTATTTATTTTCTCAAAAACAATAAATGTGCTTTATAGATAGGGTCTTCCCACATGTCAAAGGGCACGATGAGTCCTGATCGTCTTCCATCGCACTATGGGGCGAACGACCACTTTTTGTGGCATTAATTACTATCTCGAGAACGAAGCAACATTTTTAGGTTCCGTTTTTTGATATATGTTAATAATACAAATAGTAATATATTTTAGGAAAAATGGGCATGGTCCTGCCCTAAATTAAAGTTAAAAAAAATAACAATTTTCGGTGTATCCGAAAAATTGTTTTCCACCAAAAATTTAAAATATAATATCTAAATAATACAATAATGTAAAAACCAGAGTTGTCTTACCTTCTTCTTATATAAAATCGATGTTTTACTATTTCGATTCACAGGTTTTTTTTAAGAAACAATACAGAATGCTTGTTAAAATAATGTTTCCAACTAAAACCTGAAATTTAAGAAACTAGACTTGTTTTGTAATTAATATATTTATATTTCGCACCTATGGTTCTTCGTCATCGCCTTCGTTTTCCAGCATCAAATTCCATGAATATCCTAATAAGTTAGGGTCATCATCGTCCAATTCTTCTGTGCTGTTGAACTCGCAGGTTAATAATCTTGTTACCTCTTCTGGAAGGCAAAGCTTTTTTGTTACTCTTCTTTGGAGGCTTACTGAAGAAATTATAGGATATGATGTGTCCATTGCCCTTTGAAATACATCATAAAAATTATCCTTTCGACTGTTTTTTCTCGCATGGTGCAGCCGATCGGATTTGTAAAATTTATTTCTCGATTCGGCGCCCTCTTCTCCAAAGTAACCTACTGGAAGCACGGTGTTTTCACTTTATGTACCGTTAAGTCATTGGCAGCCAAGGATACTCATCAATAATAATTTCCGCAGTTTCATAGCAGAAGCTCTGAAACTTTCCAACATTAATCGGCAGCTGACATGAGAGGCAAATTAAAATTGTCCTTAGATTTGAAATAAGTTGTACGCTTATTCCTGTAATTTTAGAAAATTTTGTTGGGTCTCTGAAAGCACGACGAGCGGTGTTTCCATCATTTGTGCTGGCAAAGCCGCCAACTTTCGGTTAATCAACTTTCAGTGACATCTGTTTCCAAAACAAGGCTTGCACGTATGCTTTTCTTTCAGCAACTCTTCTCTTGTCTTCTTGGTTGTTTATTCTCCATTTTTTTACCTGGCATTTATAGCCTGCGTGCAATATGAATTCAAATAACCGAATCCAACAGTGCAAAGGACTTAATCCAAAGTTAAGGTTACTCAAAACTGGAAGAAACTTTTCACATTTAAAGTTCTTATTGTTCAAAAAAATCCTTTGGCTTAGATCCACAAATTGGACAAGCTTGGGATGAGTTCGTTCCCGTCAATGCGTTTAATACCTTCCCGTCGATAACTGTTAGATATAGTCGAAATTGTATGTACAAAACTTTTCCTTGACTTATGAGAATTTTACATGACTTTAAATTAAGTATCTCATTTTTCAGCGATTCATTTTCTTGAAGTATGAGTTCTTTCGACTCCTTCATGAAAGCTAATTTTAAGGGACGACAAAATCGAATTGATTGTGGTGTCCTGTTCTTCCACAACACGTTGTTGGATGCATCCACAAGTCTTAGTGGTGTTACAGTCGTAGCAAAAATACTTGAATCGCTAGTAATGGGTTGCTCTGACAAGTATCCTTGCTTGTAGTTTGACTGCCCAGAGCTGCCATCAAACCCATAACTAAATATAAGATCTGCAGTTAGGAATTCCGTGCCTTGAATAACGTCTTCTTGCAGGCATGTAATCCGAGATGCTGTGTGGTCAAGAAAATTTTGTAAAGGTACCTCTGCCTTTGTATCGGATATTTGCAAATCCTTCGGCCGGCAATCTTTTTTCCGATCAGCAACCTCCTTGTACGATGGAAACAAATTGTTTTTGGTTTGCTCCCTAATTGCGCAATATTGTGCTTTTGTAAGGTCCTGGTCCAAAAGGAGAGCTAAAGCCTCATTAGCAGAGACTTTTGTAGGGCTTGCAACTGGACGGCTTAATAAATGAATGAGAAAATTGTGGAAATATTTTTCAAGGAGAATTAACGTCATAAAGAGGAACAAACAATAAGCTAAATCATAAGATGTTTGAGCAATTAGAAATATTTCATATTTCATTAGAATATATCATATTTCTTTATTTTTGTGCGTTTGAAGTATTTTCATTCAAATGAAAAGAAAATTTGTTTGGACATACGATAATTTCGCGCGCACATTGAAAAGCACTGTAACATACGATAAAATTGAAACTTAAACGCTATCTGTGCGTTTCAGCTAGCTCAACAGAAGCAGAGCGAGTATTTAGTAATATAGTATAGTATAGTATTATAACCGATAGAGGTGCCGCTTTAAAACCCAAAACTTTAAATTAGCTCGTTTTTGCCAAAAAAAAAACCAGTGGCTAGTCTAGAATATTTATATTTATTTTCATTTTTATAATTTGAAAATATTTTCTTTTGTTTTTTGTGATCTGATTGTATTGATCTCATTTAATTTAATTTAATTTTTCTGGAAATAACCAGTAAATAATTGATTTGATTTTTTGTTTTTATAATATGAAAATATTTCGTTTCTTATTTTATGAACCTTTATTTTAAATATTTTTATTTAAACTAAGTTACATTATTTAAAATAAAGGCTTTGAATAATTTTATTTAAAATAAAGATTCATAAAATAAGAAACAGAATATTTTCTTAAAAAAAAATCAAAAATCAATTAATCACTGGTTATGGCCAGAAAAATTTATTTGATTTATTATGAATACATTTTGGGTTTATTGTTTAAGAATGATTATGTAAATAAATTTAAGTTTTGGTTTTTTCTGAATTTATTTGAAGTAAAAAATAAAAAAGGTTTGTTTTCGATTTAATCGATTTTATTTTCAAAAAAATCGAAAAAATCCATTCGCTGAGAATCGATTTTTTCCCAGCTCTAGTGCCTAACAATTTTGCATTAAAATCTCAATTTCGAAGAAAAGCGACATACGATACTTTCGCGGAAATGCGTCGATATGATATGTATAAATATATATATTCTTTTTGATCAAATCAAAAACAAGCTTCAGCGTGCCGGAGTTAGCTTCCTTGGACATTAGGGTTTGGTACCACATTGCACAATTGCTTGAAAACAGGCTGGCTATTTTTGACAGACTAGTCCGGGCGCATCCAGGTAGACGGAAACCGATTACCAAACCAAAAGGGGTCGGTAAAATATAAAATTGAAACAACGCTAAGCTGGTCGTTACTCTTTGGCTTAATATTCCAGTCCATAACATGGTTCACGCAAATCACATTTATTAATTTTCGACGAAAACGTACATAAATAAGACATTGAATAGTTGAACAGTTACTATACAACGGCTTGTTACCAAGTATTTCCACTTACCAGGTCGTAAATTTTCGGCATTTTGGTTAAATTCTTTAAACTTTATCAGTTTTTGTAAGGTGTCGGAAAATGAAAACTAAACGTATCGCTTCTTTTTATAAGAGATAATCACGTAAATCGAGTACAATTAAAAAATATTGGTTCGATATCTTTAGATATTAAGAATTCATTAACCATAAATGTTGGTTATTAAATGCTTTATTTATTTTCAGAGTAAAATATATAAATTAATCTAAAATAATAATATAAAGCATATTGGCTTAAATATTTAATTCAAAAGCTATACAAGTTAATATTATACATTTATTTATTTATACTGCTTGATAAATATAGCTAAGATTTCTCTCCGTCTCAACTAAAGCTCTCGAAGGGTGAGGTAGGTTCTAAAATCAATAAACACACTTTGCTGAGAAACTAAAAGTAGAATCTCATAATGAATAAAGAAATATAATAATAATCTTTAAATAAATTGTAAATATCAAGGAATTTAAACAAAAATGACAATAGATATTTATTAAAATAGTTAATATAAAATTTCAGTCTCCTTTTGCATATGAATATTTTTAATTCAATACCCAAAGTACTAGAGTAACTTGACATTATTTTAAATGCATCAAGTAGAGTAATGAGAGTCATTTCCAACACACATCCCACTGGCATTTTCTAATTATCAATCTCAAGTGATATTTCCCGCCACAATTGATTTAATCGAGTCAATGAGGTGGGTCTGACCGCCTCCATAATTGGCTGTAAAAACGCCCAGCTTGTATCTGTGACTGCGTTCGCTCATTTGATGCTTTGCCCACTTTTTGCGCCTGCACTAACTTTTCGCCGAGATTTTCCCCAACGCGCTGCTGTCTGGGCAACATGATCATTTCTACGTCATCAAATGAGTATAGAACCGGTATTAAGAACATGTTTCCGTGGGAATGCCTCACATCAGCTGGGAAGGAAATTATCAGGGGCTCAGGGTGCAAGGCTTACAAGGGTCATAAACGATCGATTAGAATCAGGCATCTATATGTTTTAGCTTATCTTATTCTTATGTTATTTCATAGAATTCATATAAGGGAGCTGCTCATATGAACGATTTGCTTGGATAATCACTTAAAACCAAAAATATTCAACAGCTATTTATATAAATAAGGAGCTGTAGGGCATAATGAATTTAACATATAAAGTAAATGTAAAATTCCCACAATGCTGACCCCTTGAGAGCCCCGACAATGCTCAACTCAAATCGTTTAATCAGCACACTTTATTCGCGTGCTAATACCAGGTCTAGGAGTGACGTACTGAGTGCGTATGGAGAGAACTATCTGGGGAGAGAATGCATCAGTTAGTCGGCGGCATGGCATATAAAACCAGCTCGTAGCTCAGAACAGACCAACAGAGTGCATTGGCCAGTGGAATCGATTGCTTCGCTAGCTGCAGCTGATCCAATAAATCGACTTAGAATGAGGAGTCAACTATTTGTAGTGCTATTGTTGGTGGCAACCCAAGGTAAATATATTTGAGCTGACTTGGAAAATAAAAAGGCTAATCATTTTATACGCTTAAACCAGCTCAAGGGAAACCCAGTGGCAATGGCCTCGAGACCGACTATGATGCTGAGATGAGCGACTTTATGGATGGTCTGCCAGATTTGGATGATACTCCTTCTGGCATTGGCTCGCGATCGGATATTTCAGCAGAACCAGAGGCGGACGATATTCTGGCCCACCTGGATGATGAGTACGAAGGCGCCGAGCACTTTGACTGGAACAAATGCGACAAGGATCTCAGCGAGTCGCGGGGCATTGGAAAGTTCCTGGACCTGCCCTTCATCAAGAAGATAGCCAGCAACCTGAATCCGTTCTCCAGCAAGAAACTCCGTATGCAGTTTTACCTGTTCAAAAGGGAGTTCCCCGAGTGTGGAAGGGAACTGGATTTCTCGAACGAGCGGAAATTCAAGAAGGCTGGTTTCAATGCCTCGCTGCCTACCAGGCTGATGATCCACGGATGGATGAGCCAGTCGCGGGGCTCCTTCAATCGGGATGTCAAGAACGCCTACTTGAAGAAGGGGGAGTACAACGTGATCGTGGCCGATTGGAGTGCGAGTTCCGCCAACATCAACTACTTCTCGGTGGTCAAGCTAATCGAGACTTTCGGTGCTCAGCTGGCACAGTTCACCAGGAACTTGAATCGCCAATTTGGAGCCGATTTTGATAGCATTTACTTCATTGGTCACTCCCTGGGAGCCCAGATAGCTGGCTCGGCTGGAAAGCGACTAAGCCCGGACAAGATAAACACCATTTTCGCTTTGGATCCTGCGGGCCCCAAGTTCCGACATCGCAGCGCCGAATTCCGCATCGATCCAACGGATGCCAAATATGTCGAATCCATGCACACGAGTGCCAACTTCGGATTCCGACGGCCCACGGGCAGTGCCACCTTCTACCCCAACTACGGAGCCTACCAGCGCAGCTGCTACTATCTGGGTTGCTCGCACATTCGATCCTACCAGATGTTCGCCGAGTCCATTAATTCGCCGCTGGGATTTTGGGGGACTCCTTGCGTCCGGGAGAACGGCAAGTGGCAGTGCGATCAAAGCAAGCGGCAGTCCATCAGGATGGCAGGCGAGCCCTCGGCCCATAAGGAGGGTATATTCTACGTGAAAACCTCCTCGAGCGATCCCTTCGCCCTCGGCAAGCAGTGATTCCAGAAATTAGTCAAATAGTTTTATTTAGAAACCTTTGAAAATGTGATTCAAGTTTACCAAAAATAAATGTAATTTTTCCTTTTTCAACATATTTAAATGTGCAAAGCCATATATTTGTAGAAAATTATGATTTATATAATAAATGCACCATAAAATTCATCAATACTTCTCCGATTAAAAACTTGGAGCTGTGGTTGCTTTCAAAGAAGGAACATATTGGTTACGTTATGACACCTCTCGTGCCTGGTATTTTCGTCTGGTATTAGATAATGGTTAAGGGTTAAGGTGGTTAAAGGTTATATATTCATATTGCTAACTTGCGATTTATTAATTCCAACATAGTTCTATAATTTAAAACCCTTTTAGACTTTGATTAACTTTTTCAAGTACTTAAAATTCACTAAATTATATCAACCATAAATGCATTAGGTTGCTGGATTGTGCTCGTGGGTTAGGTTCCGGGTTTCTGGATCACAATGATGATGTAGCTCTCCGAGGGCACCACGATAACCTCGTGGTTCAAGGTGCGCATGCGCAGGTTCACCAGCTCGTTGCTCGAATCCAAATTAGTGACCATCTTGGCCGCCTTGAAGGTCAGGGTGCTTATCAGGGCCGCATAGTGAACGGTCAAAGTGTAGTCCATTGTTGTCTTGATGGGTATGGCGAACGGGTCCAAAACGATAATGCCAACAACATTTGGGTAGTTTTGGTAGCGTTTCAACAGTTCCTCAATTTCGGCCGACATCTTATGGAGAAAATATAAGAACGGATATATTGAAATTGAATATTGAAACCAGGCACACTATTTTAAACGACAATCCTTCTGAGATGTTTACATTAGTTTCTTGTTTCTTTTTTAAATTCTTCCCAAAATTGGTAATCCCAGAAAATATATATAATAGTATGCTTTTAAGCACCGACTTGTATTGCATAGTTTACTCAAGCTCAAAGCCGTGATCACCTTTTATGTACTTCAGTTGGATTTCTAAAGTCTGCTGTATTTTTACCGACCCAAAAAAAACTTGACAGGAAATCTGGGTCCCGCGAGATAAAAACAAAGCTTCTAGCATGGATATCTGTGACTTTTGGACAAACAATTCAAAAACAAATCAATTAATGTTAAGTTACTTTGGTGTAGATTTAAATCAAACTATTAATTGTTAAAAAGAAGACTATTTGGGCATCGAACTTGCATTTTTCCAAAAATTAATTTCAGTTCTTGTCTTAATTCCAATTGGGGGGGTGTCTGGCCCAATGGCACTTCTTTGGCGATGTGAAATATGCGAACCTGCGCTGGCTTGGCGTTAATTGCTACCAGATAAATATATGCGGCGTCGCCATAATTACGAAGGACAGATTACGGGGCGCACTTAATTGTCCGCCGTAAAGTGTTTGCCGGTATCTCTAATCCGGCCAGCGAAGAAAACTCTTCCACCGTCTTGGAAGAGCAGTTCCTGCTCGATTTTAATTATTCGGCGACGTTCTCACTCTTAGCCTTTTGCATATTCATTGGTTCTTCTAGGAATGCAGGGCTTGCAATGCTTTGATTTTCATTGCACAGTAGTCCAAAGGCTCATAATTTAAAGAGTAAAGGGATTTTTTTTGCTGGGATTTTAAGAAAATTAATTCCAGTTATCTACAGAGAGGGAGAGAGTGTTCTGGCTCAATATTTCGTATACGTGTAAATTCATGCTCTGGTGTTGAAGGTGTTTCCGTATCGAAAACCGATGTCCTTATGTTTTTTTGTTGAAAACCCGAAAACTCGCGTACTTCAAGAGGTCAATTATATGTAAACAACTATTATTACCGGGAAAAATACATCTTTATATGGGTTATTCTCCTGAAGGACAATAGTGGCCAAATAATTAAAAGTTCTCTAAAAAATACTTCATATTTTTAAGTCGAGCCAAATACATTATTAAAATAAATCTATGAATAATGAATTAAAATGATTGCATTAAAATATTTCATCACTTTTCGTTAAAGTCAGTGCTTGAACAGATTTTTTTTGTAATTGTCTTGAAAATTAATAATTTGATTTTAGTGCTTAGTGATAGCCAAGAGCTATAAGTTTAAACATTTTATTAAATTGCAATAAGGTTTTGGCACATGCTTTTTTAATTTTAATACGTAAAAATGTCGCATTCGACCTCCGAGAATTGCCCTTATGTCTCTTAGGGGCAGTAACTTAAATTCGAATTAACCGCGTTGTCTATTTTTCTTGGTCTGTTCCATTTAAATCAAACTACAGATGCTATTATTGAGACTATTCTCTATAAATATACCTAATTATTATGGTTAATTATTGTTAAACTTTTTAATTTTTATATAAATTATTTGGATTATGAAGTAATATAATTTTATGCAAAATAGTTTGCATTTGGACCACAGTGTTTACTGGCAATCCAACACATTTGTTACTCCCTGACTGCAGAAACTTTGGCTGCAATGTGGTTGGTCAGATAAGCTATCCTCCTAATCGGTTATAAAAATGGCCAAGGAGGACGGCAATAGGTTTATAAAGATTTTAATATTTTAGCAATGTTCTTAGAGAAGGAGGAGTAGACTTACTTTGCTTTTTGGAAAAACAAATCATGAATTCAAAAATGTTTATTATTATATTGAGCTTCAAGTTTCTCGCGGCATAAATTTATCTCATAATATCTTAATTCTGCAGTTACTCTGTTTTGTAAATACGAACATTTTTCAATCAAATTATCCATGATGAAAAATGTCAATTGAGTTTAGGACCTTTTCGACTGCCTAGAGGCTATTTTCATTTATATTTCGGGTTTCGGACTGTAAGGAACTATAAAAGACAAAAAAAATCTCAAATTTGTATTTTAAAAATTTCAAAATTTTAGTAGTGGTACATTTCTTTGAACAAATTTAAAAATAAAATAACATCATGGAGTATGGAAACGGAATGCAATACTGTGGTTATGGCCAGGGCGGCGAGGTAAGTTTTCAACTTTTCTTAAGCTCATATACCTATGTCTCATTGTAAATATTTCATAGGGCTATGAAATGAACTATAGCACTATGGGCCAGGCCCAAGGATATAACCAGCAGCAGGGTGGACAGGAGTCTAGTAACCAAAACGGAGCCGCTGCCCTCGGTGGTCCTGGCTATCGCAGTCCCCTGCGATACAGCAAGTTGCTTCGCGAGATGAATTCCCGAAACGGACTATAGTGAGTCGATCCAACAGGTATTCCTCTTCCCATAGAGCTGATGTGTTTTTGCCACAGTTCACCCATGGATCAGCAGCGAGCAGGTGCCCATGGAGATTTCTACAACTCTTTGCCGGGCATTGGTGGCGCGGAGGGTCAAATGTACCAGTCGCGTGGCAATGGAAACTCGTATTACTGAAGCGGTGATGTGTCCAATTCGTTGACATCAAACTTGCATTTTGAAAGCGTCGCACTCCAATAAAACTTTCATTGAAATGTCTACATGTACAATTATTGATAATACTGGGATTTAATGCTAAGCCGATATAATTACATTGTGGGAAACCTTAACTGAGGGTGTTGATAGGTTTGTGCTTATAAGACTGTAAGATCGCACGTTAATAGATACATCGAAGAAATTATATCCATGGCTAATTAAAGGTTTGCCTGTTGATTATAATTAAGTGCCTTTAGTATAGCACTATGATAGTTGTCCTATTAAGTGGATGATTAAAACATATTGGTCTGGTTAAAGGAACAAATGAAGAAAAGAATATCGTATTACTACTATAAAGGTCGACCGATAATATCAAATGAAATCGATTAGCGCGGCAACAGTGCAATCTGATTCATTCATATTTGGATCCAAAAGTATTGTACAAGAATTTTTTAAACGGCACACAAATATATTTATTCTTTTAGAAGAGTGGTGGAGCAATGTTATCAAAAGGTAGATTTTCAGTGTCCTAAACGTGCTTATGCCTTTAAAAGCTTATTTTCCTTGACAGAATTTATTGATAGTATTTCATAACCAATGTTCTGAAAATTCGCATTAAAAAAAAAGAAAAAAGAACGATCACTCAGGACCCATTTAAGTGGTAAAGGCACCTATTGTTAATGCGTCCTGACACTTATTAACTAAAAATAAATGGAATTAATTTAGCAGAATTCGTTGTTGGCACTACGCTGCAAAAATATCTAAACAGGAAACAAAACACTAATCCAGCCAGCCGACGAAAATGATCTGCAAGGCTTTTTTTAGATAGTTCAAAACCTGAGGGACTAGTTTGACCAGAAACGGAAGGACGGACAGAAGGAATTAGCTTGATCGTTTCGGCTGCTAATGACGATGAATAATAACAAGAATGAATATTAATGTTTTGGCTATCTAGTGTGATTTTATTTTGTTATCAGCAGATATGTATTTTAGAATCATTTTTGTTTAGGTTTCATAAAGTAACAACCAGAAAAATTTGTATATCTTGCCTAAATTATTGTAGTGTTGTCACAGAATTAAAAAGAACAAAAATTAAAATAAAAAAAAAAACTAATTAGAAAATTAAACTTTATTAAAAATGGATATGGACTACTCTACATATGCACAGCTATTTGGCTTTCCTTACATGCCCACTACGGAGCAAAGCTACCCAGAAGTAAGATCCCCAATAGAAACCCAGTCCAGATATTGATCAAGTTCTATATGTAGATGAGGGGCGGTGAGCAGCGACAGATGCAACAGAAGCAGTGCGAGAATTTTCAACAGGTATACAACCAAGGCATTCAGGCCTCGTCAGTTCCTGACTACGATCCATATCGACGCGAAGGGCGGGGAATGGAAAATAGGTCGAACAACTTCCAAGACAATCCCTACAATTCAGGGCATCAATTGACTAGTTCTGAATATCGTTGCGTGGCGCGGGAACAAAAACGAGCCAAGGAAATGCAGTCCCGCAATGGGTTATAGTAAGTAAACATCTCGTACTCTTCGCATCGATTACACTATAGCTTTCCTTTAATGTAGTTCGCCTTTTGAGCCCGCTGCTCGCTATACAAGTGGCGGGGATGCCAGCCACTACCCCAATTACGCAGGTGGGTAACCTTATTCCTTATACCCATACGGAAACACCTACCTTTCCCTACATTTTTTATTCCCCAGATGGTGGCAGGCGAATGAAAACCCAGAGCATGAATCCATATTGGTAATACTGAAAACCTGCTAAATTAAATTTGTCTAAAATATCTATGTTAAAGTTTATCACTACTTATTTATGGTAAGGGAACACTTATAATCACACTTGGATATGTTTTCAGTCTCTTAAAAGCAAGGCTAGCCTAAGAGACTGAAAGAATCTCACAAAAAAATATAAATAAATTAAAGCACTCGTCCAAAGTCTATAGTCTGCCTTTACAAAGTCATTCTTAGACCTAAAGTCAGCTGGGAAGCCAAGCTGGACAACGGCTTTTTGCGGTATACGATCCAGCGGAAAATGAGGTAAAGACGATCCGTGGTTTTCAGAAGGGGGAGCTACAATGGCTGGATATCCCATTTAAGGATGGCCCATTCGCTCATATTTAGCTTGTCGCCTCTTATAGAAAGCGGTGGTGTCATAAATTAAAACTTAAACTTTTGGAAATGTCAAGTATAAAACGGTAAATCTCTGCACACACACTCGTCCTTCTGCTGGAAATGAATGGCACCAGAAAGGGTTGGCCGGGGTGGCGGAGCAGTGGGTGGTGAGGAGGCTCGCCCATTGAATGCGCATGTTTTAGTTGCGGGCAGCGTTTTTCACTTGCTGGCAAAGATATACGGAGAGGTGCAATACAACAATATATAGGGAAAACTCCACCCACTTGGCCATAAATCTGGGCACAAGGCAAACTTACAGATTATCCGCATTTAGTTGTAAAGGTTCCCCCACAAAATGTATTTATTTCATTTTTGGCTCCACCGAAGACGAAAGTTTGTCTGGCTCTTCCTTGGCCTGTCGATGATTTACATTTAAGTTACTTTCGTCGGGCACTGGACCCCCGAAGATTCCATACTCCCCATTCCGTGGCTGCTCATTTACAATAAATTGTCATCGCTGGCGCTAAATATCTAATTTCTAATCATCATAAAATCTGATTATCATTTTCATAACTCTGCTAGATATTGGCCACAAAAAACTTGACACATTAAGCGACCATAAGAACAAATTTACAGCGGCCAAAGAGCACAACTCTTAAGTAAAATTTATGAAAATTAAAAACTTAGAACAACTTTCCCCCGGTCATTTGAATAATTTAATTGATCGCATAAATTTCTAGGTGGAAAACAACACCTTAAGCCTTCAAAGGGAGGGTGCCCAGGACCAAGGGATGGTGGTGGAACGACATTGGGACGAATGAAGTGTAACCGCTAATATAATCAAATTGGCTTCGGCCACGCCGGAAAATATACGATTCCTCCTTGATTCTACCGAGCATCTAATCATACTTTGTTTTGGTTTTTCTTTCACAAATTTTGCTTGAAATGTGCCATCTTAATTTAAAAATTAGCTTCATTGCTGGTTTCTTTTTTGTTTGACTAATTTTTCAAGGTACCACAAGAACAACAGTCCAGGGAATTGAGATACTATGTGTTGAGTATACCTTTGAATTCTGATCAAATGTTGAAAACAGAGACCACAAAATAAATCTATTTAAATTATAATTATCGAATTTAGTTATTGAATGTAATTTTACTGTCTGCAGTTCCTCAATCTCATCATTTTCAATTTACTAATGACATAAGCGAAGAACTGACATTTTTTCACAACCCAGACTTTATATGAAGACTAAATCCCTGGGCTTGGTCACAAAACCCACTGCCTTTCCAACAGTCAAACGCAAACGCAAAGATGATGAATTTTGACGTTTTGCGTGCACGGAAAAGTCCCTTGCTTAAAAGTTATTGCAGATTAAGGAGAAGAGGCAAATGTGCAGGCAGAATTTGCTTCATTAGACTAGGAGAGCTCTCGTGGCCGAGGATTCGGACCAAGATCCATGTGTGGCGAGGCTGGAGGACTCGAGGCATCGACGGGCGTGCGAAAGAGTGCGATGTTTACTTACCTGTGGTGAAAGTTTCTGAAAATCCTAAAAGGAAATCACTTTAGACGCGTCCAAAGAGATGCAGTAAAGTTTCGTTAAACCATCTGGCCTCAAACTCCTTGCCCTGGCTGCCACCTCGACTCCATGAGCCACAAAAACCAAAGTTGCCAGTAGAGGAAGTGTGAACGATTATGAGGAGCTGATAGAAGAAATTCGAGAAGAGTCGGGCTCTTGCGCCGCCCATTTTGGAGTCTATCCTTGGATGATGTTTTAATGTTGCCCGCTGGAACTTTTGAGACATCTTAATTCCTTTCGAGATAAATCAGAAATTTTAAGAGGGCTTGGGCGCCAGTTAAAAATTTGTATTTTTATTTATATAATTTCTGGACTTGTGCATTTTTATTCGCCCCTCCCTCGCTCTCTGCTCCTTCCTCAAAAATCCCCAGTTGTATGTGTTTGAGCTTGGTTTATCCTTTCATAAATGGGACCAACGGCCAACTGATTTATGCCACCGCAAGCTGGAGCCGTTGTCCTTGGTCCTGCAGCGCCTGCAACTGTTCCACACCGGAGCATCCTTATGTCGACGGCGGTGGGCAAAAAATAACAAAGCAACAAAACAGAATTCCAGAAAACAACATAAAGCCGATTGATTTATTTTGACAATGCTACCATGCAGTGTCGTCCCCTCGGAGCCCCCCGAGCCCCACCATTGATGCCGCGATCCCCCGAGTGGTGCAAGTCCTGGTTCCAGTCTAGTCTGGTTGCCGTGGTTTGTCGGTAGCCTCCTTCTCGGTCCGTCTCTGGCAACATTTCTTTACTTCTCCCCCTCCCCCTGCACATCGACATGATTCGTCCGCATTTTGGACCATCACCCGCTGTCCCACTCTCCATTTCCATGACAAAAGTTGTCTCCATCGCTTTCCTCGCAATATATATATTGTACATTTCTCCTATTATAATCCTTCATTGCATACTGTTTGGGTTGGGTGAATAGGACCAACTGCTGTCCACCTCCCCTTTGTGGATACTACAGTGAGAGATGTAGAGATGTGGAGGGTGAAATGGGACGGATGGGTTGATGGTTGCGTGTGGCTATTACAAAAAATGCCTTTAATTACCCTGTAGCACAGTTAAGTGGTTAGCCTATTTATTTCTCTAACAATTTTGATTTCACTGAAATTACAATAAAATGGGTTCGCTGTTAGTAGCGTTTACGTTTATCGATAACAATTCCCTCAGTTTATATCTGCTATATAAGTCGGAAGGGGCCGGATCGGTCGAATTTGAAGGAAAAAAACAGTACTTTCAGATACTTGCACTTTTAGGTTGAAATAACTCAAAAACCTAACAGATAGGATATTCTCTGAGGCCGGATTCGAGTTCAGCGTATCAAAAACCTTCGGGGTTCTGCATTTTTTTTCAAATTTTGTTGACCTGAGTCATTGTATGTTTATTTTTGCCTTAGATGCAGACACGGACCTCTAATCTCAAGCCTAGTTGGTAGCTTTCTTTAAGATCAGAAACCTTAAAAAAGGTTCTGTATATTATTAAGTCGCAGCAAGTCCTAAGTATAAAAAGAAGAATGCCAGCTTTATTTTTGAGCTCGAAATTAACCAATAAACACACTGGACGCCGTGTCACCTTGTGGTGCACAAGTCTCACCTCGAGGCCCGCCTTCTCTGATGGAGGTCAGAGTTTCACGGGCCGCGATGTGCGCTGGAAAATGGTTAATAAGTACAGCCACGAGTTCTTGGTTTAAATTAAAAGTTATTAAAGAAGGAGGAGGAGATAAAGGCCACTGGGGCCAAACACACGGTTCTTGGATTCCAGGGCAGAAGTTGGCTTATGGGCCTGGCCTGTTGGCGGAAATTGTTACACGATGCTGGGATGCGAGAATGGCAACCACAGCAGCAGTTATTGCCACCACGCCCGATGTCGTTACTTTGCCTTTTTTTTTAAGGAAATAAGATTCGAAAAGTTTATGCAGTTGTTGTCACGAGGTGGTGGAAAATGAAGCCTGCGGAAGAGTACCCTCAACGACCCGGGCTTGATTCGTTGAAGGGAAAACTGCCTCATCCCATTTTTGAACTCTGGCTCCACTGTAAATATAAAAAAAAAACGCGACAAACTGCCAAATTTATTCAATTCCTTACAAATATTAAAATATATATATATTTTAATTTTATCCCATCGGGTAATCCAAACGATAAAATACAACATAATAATTAGTCAAAGGATTTCTCGTTACGGTAACTAACGATAATGACATACTTCTTTACTAGATTCTGGCTTTTCGAATAAAAAAAATACTGAGCATCCTTTGTAGAACTAAATCTATGGTTTTAACTCTACCCGTATCCTTTCTTGTTTTATTTATTTTGTAAATATTTCGACAGAATGAGCATTACGAGCGGGTGAGAAAGGGGTGCTTAACTTAAAAAAAGAAGAGGACGAACGCCAAATGCAAAGCAGCGGCAGGCACGAACTGAAGATGAAGTTTATTTTACGACCCTGGCACTCGAGCCAAGAAGGATCTAGGGTCTGCCGCCAGATAATGTATCAGCCAAGTGAGCACGAGAGAGGTGTGGGCCCGGCTCCATTCCACACGTGTGTGTAATCAAATAATTTTGCAGAAATCGAGAAATTATTACGAGTAAATTTTTACAAATTCATTTTGCACTTTTGCCAGACCCGCAACACCCTTCTCCCCGCAAGCAGCTGAAAAGCATAGGAAAAGTTACTCGCACTGCATGCAAAGTGGCCCAATCCTTCACCCCCGATCCCCTCCAGCCAGCAGGATGTGTGGATTTTCCGGCATTTTGGCGGCATGGCCCTTTTGTTTATTTCTTTGAGATGCGGCCCCGAACAAATGACCTGCCCCCGTGCCGCCAGACTCCCCAGTTTTGATTGTGCAAACTTCTCGACTTCATTCTGCAGTTGCATTCCAAGGCAAATCGACGGGCAGGCAGTGGGGGAGAAGGCCTCCTCGAACACGTGTGGGAGCGAGGATCGTATCAATTGTGTGTGATGGTCAAAAGTCATTTCAACAGCACTAAATTATTATTATCTTTAAGAAGTTTCACATGCTCGACAATCATCCAAAATGGTCGGTCAACATGGTGGTTGGGGTTCCATGAGCCCGGGCCACTGCATCCCAGTGTGCTATCATAAGGGATTCTTTGGATTTGTGTAATGGCATGGAATGTTTTGATGTTTGCCTAAAACTTTTCACAGGGCCGCTCCTCGACCACTTTTTGTGGAAATATTTAATAATAAAAAGAGGAAAAGCATGGCTAAAAGCAAGATAGGATATTTTTAGTATTT